AAAAAAATATTTTGTGAAGATACTACGTAATAGATCCAACATGCTCATAATTTGGGTAAACATATTTTAAGACAAAGATTTCATACATTGGAATATCATTGTGTGCTTTATTTTTCTGTCCTGAAATAGCCGATACGTCTTGTTTTTGCTCCTTTTCATATGACTTCAAAATGCTAATGTTCTGAGTTTCACCTAGTTCATGATGTTGTTTGGCTACCCTGCAGCACAGAACATGAAAAAAAATATGAGAAATTGGCAAAATCACAAAGTATAGGCAAATCACATCGTTTCTTACCAAATCTCAGACAGGGTTATATTCTAGTTAATAACTTTTCAATTTTCTGGCACATAAGGAGCCAAGTTCCTTTTGAGTTACTGCTGAAGATTTTAGACACATTATCTGTAAATTTTCTTGAGACTTGAATGTATATCAGTAGTTATTTTTTCCTCTAGCAAAAATTCACAAATTTAACAACTTCTTGGTCTGCATAAAAAATGAGCGATAGAAATGGTGCCCAGGATGCACGATTGAAGTCCCCTAATGATCTCCTGATTGGAGGAAGTAGCCATAATACCTGCATCTATGCACCATTGAAGCCCTATAGTGATCTCCTAGTTCTGTCTTAAGAGCTCGAGCCAGGAAGCGCATGAAGGAAAGGTAGAAAGACATAGAGGCATACTGATTGGATATAGAACATAGAAATATTCTGGGAAACGTTGGTTCCAAGATATGTGTGGATTTGTTGTGGAATGTGGATTATTCCTAAATACAGTAAGATTCCAAACACTATCTTAAACTATGTTAGCGAAACTGGTGTGTTAAACTATTTGAATGGTCAAGCAAGCATGTCATATGTCATTAGCACGATCAAGTTCTCCTCCTTGTCATATTCTGAACTGTTTACAGGTGGTGCATGCACAATATGTATCATATGCATCTTCTGCTGTACTCATGTATCCACCATGGTGATCAACATACACACTTAATCACATGACATTTTACAGCATGCAGATATTTTGAAAACGGATATAAATATGTAAAATCCTAATTTTTCCTTTACCATATAGGCTTCTTGACAACAAGAAAGCCATAGAAAATGAGAAATTGAAGGAGAAAATGCAAAGCATATACATACACAAGCATGATAAATTGCATAGTCATCAAGGATGATTCCTTCTTTTGGAAACAACCAGTGCAGTTACATAAAAGGTTAGAAATAAAATACACATATAAATAAAACAATAACGACATGAGTACTCCATATGTTTGTTTAAAAATTAAAACGTTAATGATTGTATACCTGAAAGTATCACTTGCACTCTGGTCATCATTTCTTTCACTTCCTGAAAAATCTGAGGTGGCTTTTGTTGGATGTTCCCCATGAGACTTCAAGAGACCAGTTTTCCACGTTTCAGCTTGTTCATTGGTTTGTTTTGATTCTCTGCAGGTGCAAGATGACAGATATGATAAGTTTATAAGTAAAGAGGATGTCTGCAGAGCATGAGTGTAGGTACAGGAAAACATTTTGCACTGACCTATATTCACTAGCTGGATGTGCATTAGAGGTTTTTAGTTTGTTATCACAGACAGTATCAAGTTGCTTTCTCATAGCTGATGAAATTTTCCAGGATGCATTATCTGTTGATTTTCTGAGAGACGTCAACTGTAGTGAAGCAGCTACTTTTTCGTTCAATGACTTGGGATTAACAACTCTGGAATCTCTGCAACAGTAAATATAAATTAAATTAAATTAAATTAGTAAAATTATGCTGGATATAATCCTCAGCAGACTATCTTCACGCAAATACGAACACAAAAGGCATAACCATATGCAACAACCAGACTACATTGGACAAGCATTACAAGCATGAACTTTGTACAGTTCTCATATTTAGATGATTTACATATTTTGGAACTTTAGCTAGTTAGAACTTTTTATAAAAGTGTGGATTTAGTATTTCCTTCCAGAATATAGATGAATAGGTGCAAGTTAGTTACCTTGCTAGTGTGGATGGAATGAACTTTGAGACTGGGTTCTGCTTGACACCAGCATTCTTCATTCCATTGGTATTATTGATTTTAGAGTCAGTACATGAAGCATTTTGGATATCATTTTGATCTTTGGTTGCCTCACTGGGAATCTCATCTCCCCCAGTAACTTCACTTTGATTCCGTTTACAATGTTTCTCAAAAGCAACACTGGTATTTGCTAATTCAGTTACTCCTATTTTTGGACAGCTTTCCTTGTTGTAAGAAGCTACAGGACTACTGCTCCAGGATCGTGAGTTGTCTGCTATTCTCATACTATCATCTCTTTCCTCGGCTGGATCAGCCTTTACAGCATCTGAGGAAGTAGCCCCTATGCTGAATTGTGGATTATTCTCTTGTGCAGAACAATCACCAGATAAAGATTGAAGAATGAAATCTTGGGTATTTTTCTCAGAATTTATTTTTGTTAAGCATGTTTCTTGTGGCTGCTCTGCGTGGCAATCTTCACGGTGAGGGTCCTCTTCTGCAACAGAAATTTGCTTCTCTGACGATGTCTGCACTTCGGGACACGCGTCATGATTCTCAAGATCCTGAGAAATAGAAGGTGGGGAATCGTTTGTAATACTGGCTGTTATCAAATTCTGAGGTCTCGAAGAAGCCATATTATCTGATTTTAGCGGTTTTTTATTTTCCAGATCTTTGAATGCATCAGTGCTTGTTTCAGAGTTACTCCTAGAGTCCTGGTTCTTCACATGCTTAAAAGAACAATCAGATGCATTGCTATCAGCACATTTGCGGGATTTCTTATCACCTTTCACGGGGCTTGAACCAAGATCAAACTTATCCAACCTGAATCCATGAGAGTATAGGAAATTGAGAAGTGTCCCATGGATCATCTTGATGAGACATGGACTAGTATTCCATGGACTAATAACTGCATATGAGTACAAGACAAACTAAATCTACAACAAATAACTTACTCGTTAAAATCAAAATTAAAGGAGAACTTCTCATGTTTCATATCCTGCTTTCCTTTAGGCTTCTCCACTGCCTTCTTGGCATTCATGGCAGGGCTAGAGAAGTCCAGATCAGACATGTCCATTTTGAAGGATTGCAATTTTCCGAAGTCACCACCAAGCTCAAAGTCATCACTGCGGAGAAGGCAATATGTTAGAAGAGCATAATAGTCATAGTAGGCAATTGATAACAAGTCTAAACGCTCTTTATGTAATAATCAAAGCTAAGCACAAATTGTTCTAAAAAAAGCTGAGCATGAAAAAACATACATCTCTCAAGATACTAGTGACGGCATAACAAACTCACAGTTTATCAAAATTAAATGAGTTTTTCTTATTTCGCAGAACTTCTTCCATGTCAAAATCCATTTGATCCTTCCCTTTCTTTGATGGTCCCCAGAAGTTGAGGAAATCCTTCCCAAAATCTTCATCTGTCATAAATAGAAAATAACAATTATAAAGTAAATCAACATAAACGGTTGGAGCACAAGAATGATTCTGCTGCAAGTATCTTAAAGTCCTGAATTATGTTAGAAGCCAGTGCTTTTGCTGATATGCTGTTACAAGAACCTGATAGAATTTTAAAATTTTGCCATCTTAAATAGAAACCATAGAAGTTAATAGAAACTATTGAGGCAAATACCAAGCACTGCACTTTTCTTCTTTGATTCAGCACTAGAATTCCCTTTCTCTGTGTCTGCCATTTGATGTCAGGATCCTCTGCTGCGTCTGCAACCATTGTTGAATCAGATACAAGAAGCTAAACCAAAAAAGCAAGAAACTTTTTAAAAAAAGAAGGGCAGTTTCTAGACATCAATTATTGAATAGAAAGCTTTAATCTATGCCTATGTGTATCAAACACATACCATACTGGTAAGGGAAAATGTTTAGGATATTTATCCTCCTGGTACAATCATGTTGAAAAACAGAAAAAAAAGGTACAGGTACCTTTTGATTGTACCTGAAAAAATTACTGCTAAATTTCTGAAATACATAAATTCCTCTTCACATGAGCATTTCCTTCACAAACTCAAGCTTAAAGACCAATACCTTTGCAATTACAACTTTTTATGGGTGAAATGTAAACAATAGGTTTGATTGTTCCCAACATTTATTACATTTTTCCCCATTTAAGTTCGGTTCAGAACTTGATATATTAGCATAGTATTGCTGTGACATAACTCCTCATCTATAATTGATTGTTTTCATAATGCGAAAACCAAATAAAATGCATTTAAAAATTCATAGAAAAAGTTCACGACAACATGAGGGGACTAATATGAACAAAGTTTGCTGATTGAAGATAAAATTAGAAAACTTCATAACCTGGCAAGATTCAATATTTTGTCTTCTAGGCAGAACATGCCCAAATGTAACTTTCTCAACCTCATTTCTGAAGTGACTCTTGTACGGACAACTAATTTCAAAATATCAGACCAGTGTATTATTTGCTTTATCCACATGATGACAGATTTCTCAGGCTGAATGGCAATAGAAACATTTACTTTCTCATTTATTCCCCGAAGACTGCATTACCAGAGTCATTGATCCAGAGGCCATTTTGTCATGACTTTAATATGTGTGCACGCACGCATGTGTGTAGACACACACATATATAATGGACTATTATGCTCTTAGGAGGAGAAGGAATCTCCTCCTACTACTTTTTTAGCCGTTGGATCCTATAATTGTGCTTTAAGATTAGTAGCTAATAAATTAGAAGTTAATTAGTGAGGTCTACAAAATCCTTCAACATCTCACATAAATCTTAGATTGATCTCTCTCTTCCATAAATCTCTCTTTTCTTATTACTCTGCCGATTAAATCTTTCCATTTTTATTTTAGAACCACCATCAATAAACTCCTTATTTTTCCTCCATTCTCTATTTTCTAATCATTTTTTTAGGGAACATAAAAATAAAAGAGAACCCTTTGTTTAATCTTCTATCTCTTAATTCTTTGATTGATTGTTACAATTGTTTAAAACTTAGGTCAAAGACTTGATGTCGAGAGAGTGCAGCACTTCATATTCTTTTTCCTTTTTATTTAAAGGAAATCTATCCATCCACACCCATGTGCCTGACCTTTATATTACAAGACGAAGGACATTTATGCTCACAAGTTTGTGATTTCCAATCCAAATAATTCAGTACCTATGTAAAAGCTAGAATTACATAAAAACTGACTGGATATTTTCATGGAGCTAACAGAGAGAATTTATTTAATTAGGGATTAATAGGAAGAATTCATGTTGAAAAGATACCAAGATCAGTTTATTTGTTTAGTTGATTCGAAAATTTAAAAATAATGAAAAAACAGTCAGGTCAGGATGAGATATGTAAGGTAAGAATGAGAATTTCAAGGATTTTGTGAATATTTGAATATTTAGAGGATTCAGCATATAACTTATTTTCATTAGTCACAAATCTTAAACTATGAAAAACATGATCCAACGACTGAACTTATATTAAAAATAGATATCCTGAGTACCTCTGAAAGAAAAAGAATAGATATCCTGAAATCAGATAACTAAGACATCGATTGGATTGTAAGAATTTCCTTTACTTTCTTTAGAATAACTGTAATTGTTGGTTATCAACAAGAGAGATAGCAGGTGACAAAGATCTTAGCTTCACTTATGCAACTATGACAACATCTGCCGGAAACTAAATAGTTCATGCATAAACATAATTAGTTCATCAGAGAGGCACCGGATCAAATATCAGAAGATAATTACAAGCATGCATTAGAAAAGATATGATCATCTTCCTTGTTATTTCTTCAATCAAAGGACTAGAACTGAGATTGCTCATCCATCCCATCAGATCTCAGTATATACCAACAAAATCAACAAAAAATAACCTAATCTAAGGAAAAGCAAGCAATTTACTCATTATTTCAGGAAAAATCTACTCATAAAGACCTAATATATCAAATTAAACAAAAATGTATCGGTTTTAAAGTAGAATTCCATCAAAATCGTAGTAAATCAAATAATTTCAACTTTGATCTCCAGCAAACTTCTCAATAACGTGATTCCAACGAGTTCCAGCATTTTCTCCATTTTTCCAGCAAATTACACTAACATCGAGTTAAATCAGGAAATTACAACAAGATCTATTTAAAAAAATAAGCTACTCAAACAATACAATTCGAGATCGATCGATCTCAAACGGTACGATTCTACTTCAATCGATCGATCGAGGAGAACTTACTAGGTTTCGAAACTTTTTCCTCAGCCTCGAACTCGAAAACTCAAAATGCCCTAAAATTCGCCTGCGGCACAAGGTTTCGAAACTTTTTCCTCAGCCTCGAACTCGAAAACTCAAAATGCCCTAAAATTCGCCTGCGGCACAAAAAGAGAAGACGACAGTAGCTTTCTCGAACTCGAAAACTCAAAATGCCCTAAAATTCGCCTGCGGCACAAAAAGAGAAGACGACAGTAGCTTTCGCCGTACGCTGCTCTCCCCTTTTTTATAGCCCACGGCGGGGGAGGGCGGGAAAAGCAATCGTTGCTCAGTCCGTGTAACCCCACATGACAATATCTTGTACGGATTACACGTGGCAACACCTTGGACAGTCCAATCCCAGTCCCTCTAAATTCACCCGTCATTTCCAATACTCCAACTTCACGACTCAATAAATAGGGTCCCACTTTAAAAAGTTAATGGGGTATTTTTATCACTTCACTACTATATATCACCAAATTTACTTATTCCAAGTTTACCCTATAAGTCTGAACACTTACAAACTTACTCCTACATTTTTTTTGGTACTCCTACATTTTTTTGGCATTATATTGGAATAGCCTTTTTTTTTTTACATCGTTAAATTTCAAATTGACAAGGGATAAAATGACAAAATAAAATATTATTTTTCCTATATATCCCCAAATATTTTCATATTACTCACCAATGTTGCATTTTCCATCCTCCTTTGAATTTCAATCATGTTAATTGTTAAACGAGACAACAACATAGTATAGTTGATAGAATAGGGTATGGGGATTGATTAGCAAATATGCAGTCATCAGGGCCAAGTCTGCAAAGACAATAGGCGGTGTTTGTTTCAAATCCTATAATTTTATGATATGGTTTTCACCATGGGATTTGAAATCAATAGATAATTTGTTATGAGTTAAGATTCCTAAAACTTTGTTTGTTTCAACAATATTTTAGGATTTGGAATACTATAATTTGTAATATTTTTGTTTGTTTTAAACTTTTTGGAATTTGAAATTCTTAATTTATCTAATACTTTTGAAATCCACCCCACATCCCAACCAAAAAATATGATTTCACAAATCCTTAAATATAACATTTTATTATTATTTGAGGATTTGATATTCTAAAATTTGTTTTGAAACAAACAAGTTTTATGGAATTCTAAAATCCAAAAAAAAACCCACTTTTTGATCCTAGAATTTTAATCACATCCAAATGCCAAAAAAAATTTGAAACAAACATCCCCTAGATGTTGGGGGTACATAGACAAAAACCTCGAAAATCCTATCTCTTATCTCCAATCGCAGCACGCTCAAATCATGCTCTCTTTTTGAAAGAAGAGCAGAGAGCGAGCAAAGAACAGAGAAGAACAAATCAATGGCGGGCCTCTCAGCGCAATACTCAGTGTCCTCTCCTCTTCTCACTTCCAAAGCTCGATCCTTTCGCTCCTCAGCTCCACTCTCCATCGTCTCCATCCCCAGTAAGCAAACCAAACTCTCACTCTCGAGCCCTCAATGCCCAAACCCTAACTCTTCAATTTCTCTCCATAGGTCGTAGAATATCCCACAAAGGAATCAGAATATGCGTCCCTCTTCGTGTCTCAAATGTCGCTGCAAACCGAAATCGCCACCGAAGAAGTACAAAGTTTCTCCCTAATTTGCAAAATCTCATTCTGATGACATTTTTTATGTGGTGATGTTTGCTTAATTGACAGTAAATAGAGCTGAGTAGCAAACTTTGTAAACATTTTTTTATATCCAATGTTTGGCTTGTTGGCGCATGTGGTTAAATCTGGAATAATACAGATATAAAACAGAAAAAACTAGAAAGAAAACATGTAATTTAAAATTTTTTAACTCAACAGTTGTGCGTTTGTAAAACGTTATGCTTAAAGTAATATCTGGCCTACTCCTGTGCAAGGATCTCAATGCCAAATTACTTTCAGTAACAGTAATACAGTACTCTGGTATACACCAACTCAGTATTGTCAAGATCTCCTCGATCTATAGAACGTTTCGGACAAGGCAACGATCTCCTCGATCTAGAAGACCTTTTGGTCAAGACAATTATCTCCTCGATCTATAGGACCTTCTCGGTCCAGGCAGTGTTCCTACTAGCACCAGCTATATTTTATAACATATATATCTGTATATATATTTTGTATTGGTTATTGTTTTTGGAATAAATTTTCCTTACGAGTTTAGGGTCTATTTATAGCATCTGAGAAAATACTATGCACTAATAAAATAATATTATTTTACTATACATGTGGGGTCAACGTTCTTATTTTTTTATGGTAGGGTCCACCACTTTTTTCTTTTTCAACAAAAATTTGGCACCTCCCCATTAATTTAGCTGCCCATGTTTTCATTGAGAAAATCAAGTGTGGGACCCACTTTTAAAATAAAAATATCTAACAATCCCCCATAAGTTTTTTTAAATTAGTGTCATGTAACTGTGTCGTTGTTTCAATCGTTGTGCATAAGGTAGATGTAGTAAGGGCTTGAATCCCTCTTAAACCAACTGAATAAAAGATAGGTGCATGGTGTCATAAAGACTTGAACCAACACATGTCTTAAAATCCAGCGATCACACAAGATTAAACTTATTTGTGGTAGTTTTTACTTTGAACCACACTTGTCTTTTGCCTTTGTCTTTGTCTTGCACATTTATGACCATGTGCATGTCCTGGTTTCTGCTAGGGTGTTTGTGGGGAAATTGGTAGTAAAAGAAACGAAAGAAAAATTGATTTGTATTTATTTAATCTCAGTTACAATTGGATTTCCTGATTACAAAAGAGAAGAGAATGATCTAGATTCTCCCCTTTGTTTAAAACTGGGTTCTTCATGGTGGCGATGGAGTACCTCCCTCGAATGTTCGCGTCGAGTTTGCTCTCCGTTGACGATCCGACGCTTTGCTTCACTAGAACGATGTCTTTTCCTCACGGTTTGACGCTGTGGAGAACTTGCAAAGCAAGTTTTAGAACTCTGAACGAGTTTAGAAGAACTCTGTGAAAGAGTTGATTTGAACCGAAGATCGGTTAATAAGCCAAGGCTAGAAAAAAGCTCTGGTGGTCGATCGTTGTTGAGGATGAACGTCGATCTCCCTCTCGCTGCCAAGCCAAAGATCTCCTCTGTGCTGCTGAAAAGAGGATCAATCCGAGCCAAAAAGTTCCAAAACATTTAACTCAGTTGAGTTTACTCGTTTTTATAGGGGATTAAGGGGGTGCAACCGCCCCTTAAATCACTCCTAAGTGGGGTGTAACCGCCCTCAAATCATGGAAAATAATTTTGGAACTGTTCAAAGGTTTAAGGGGTGTAATTCCCCCTAAAATCTCTCCATAATAGGGTGTAACCGACCTCATTAAGTGGAGATACGGTTTTAAAACCGTCCAGGTTCTGTTTGAACCAGTCAAACATAAAAAACGCAGATCTGACCCCAGCGTTTTGATGTTGCAACGCGGGTTTGACCCCAGCGTTTTGATGCTGCAACGCGGGTCCGACTCCAGCGTTTCAATATTGACACACGGGGAGGACCTCTGCGTTTTGGTGTTGCAATGCAGGTTCGACCCCTGCGTTTTGTTGTTGACACACGGGGAGGACCTCCGTGTTTTGTTGCTGACACACGGGGAGAACCTCCGCGTTTTGAGGTTATAACGCTGGTTCGACCTATGCGTTTTGATGTTGCAACGCAGGTCCGACCCGTGCGTTTTGACTTTGAACGCTGGGATGAACCCTGCGTTTTGATTTGAAGAGACTGTCGATTTGTAGTCTCTTTTGCTAGAGCATTGCAAAGACCGTCATCTTGTAGTCTTCGTCTTGGCTCCTTGAAAATATAAAAATCGTCAGATTGTAACTTCCATTATTGGTGTTTGATGGGGGATCAGCTATCTATTATGATTTTTAGACAGCCTACATAGGGCTCTAGGTATCTTTCCACAAGACATCATAAAAGATTGTCAAATCTCCACCCATACATATAGGTGAGTTTTTTTAGACATGTTTCCTATCCAACATCTCACATCCGAGATGCTTTGAACTCATTAAGGCTTAAGAGTCATCCTCTCTCATGATAGGATTCTAGGTGAGTCCTTTAAGTGTGTTTCCTATCTAACACCCCGCATCCGAAATGGTTTGGAGTCATTAAGGCTTAACAGCTAACCCCTTTATATAATAGGATCATCGGTGAGTTCTTTAGGCATGTTACCTATCAAACAGCCCGTAACTGAAATGCTTTGTACTCATTAAGGCTTGACAGTCATCCTCTTTACAATGATAGGATTTTACTTGTAAATCTTACTTGACTTTTGAATCAATCATCTTGTTATTAGTAGTGTAAGTTTTAAACTAATAACTAGATGTAAATGGTAAGTATTTGTAAGACTCACCAAACTTTGTAAATCTTACTTGACTTTTGAACCAATTATCTTATCATTAGTAACATAAGTTTTAAACTAAAAATTTGATATAAATGGTAAGTATTTGTAAAACTTACAAAACTTTGAGATTCATTCTAGCAGACATCCTTTCGACTATGTCTTTTTTCAGACCCTTAGTCAAAGAATCAGCCACATTCTCTGAAGACCGGACGCCAATCACAGAAATGACTCCTTGACAAATGAGCTCTCTCAAATAGTCATGCTTCAGACGAATGGTCCGCTTCTTTCCATTAAACATCGAGTTTGCTGTCACGGCACTCGTCGTCTGATTATCACAATAGATAGTAATTGTGCCTTTCAATTATGTCAAAGGAAGGTCTCGGAGAAAACAACTAAACTATTCAACTTCATCTCCTACAGCACAGAGTGCGAGGAACTCAGATTCCATCGATGATTATGCAATCACGGTCTGCTTCTTAGACTTCTACAAGACGACAGATCCACCCATAGTGAAGACAAATCCTCCAGTAGATATGCACTCATTTGGTTCTGAGCACTAGTTCGTATCTGAATAGCCTTCGATTACAACCGGATATCCAGTGTAGAATAGGCACGGTCTTGTAGTTTCTTTCAAGTATCTCATCAATCTCTGGACATCATCCCAATGAAGCTTTACAGGATTATTTGTGAACCTACTAAGCATTCCTACAATGAATGCAATGTCTAGCCTTGTGCAGCTCATCTCGTACATGAGACTCCCAATGATCTTTGAGTACCTCAGCTGCTCAACTGGTTTTCTAGAGTTCGTTCAAAGTTTCTTGTTGTAATCGTATGGTACTGATAGCTCTGGCAGGTCGTTGTAGCCATACTTTCTTAGCATGC